GGCCTCATTGAAGGAGTTTGGGAGAGGATTCCCTCCCTTTCAACTGTTTTGAAAAGTGTGAGAAAAATTGGAAGTAGTTCTTGAAGAGTTTGGTAGAATTCAGTAGTGAAGCCTTCCGGTCCTGGTGTTTTTTCTGTTGGGAGGGTCTCCATGACTTCTTCAATCTCCATCTTGGGCATTGGTCTGTTTGGATTTTCTGTGTCTTTGTACCTCAATTTTGTATGTGTCCAGAAATATATGCATTTCCTTTAGATTTTCCAATTTATTGGCATATAGCTATTTGAAGTTTCCTGATTTTCCTTTTTGTTTCTGTAGTGTCACTCATAAGATTGCTTTATTTATCTTTGATTTTGTTAATTCAGATCTTCCCCCTTTTTTGGTTAGTTGGGCTTCTGGCTTACAATTTAATTTTCTCCAAAAACACCTCTTTAGTTCATTGATCTTTTGTATCATTTTTAAATTTATCTAACTTTTATTATTTCTTTCCTCCAACTATTTTTTAATTTGGTTGATTCCTATTTTTCTGGGTCCCTGAGATATGTGATGCATTTTTAGAGCATTCATTTTATTCTGAGAATCCTTTAAATGAGGTTTTAGATAAGACATTCCTATTAAGAGACTTGGGCAAATATAATCAGTCATCTCATACAGATAATATACACTATGATAAGAATAGTAATGGTAACATGGAGATAAAATTATTTGAAAAGAACTATTTCAGGCTTTGTTGCAGGCAGGAGCTAATAAAATGATGCATTGCTGACTAAGGACTTAGGGAAGGTGTATGAGGAGCTAAGGAAAAGAGTACAAATGAAAAGGTCATGTTGGAGCTGATGGCTCCCCTCCTTCCCCTGGCCTGCATTCAAGCTTGGGATATTTAAAATGAACCAGGATAATACTCCAGCCCTGGTGCTGCTACAAATCAAATAAGTCAGTAAAAACTCTTACAGCCATAGATTAATTTGACTGCATATTGGAAAAATGGGTCCACCACAATAGCTAGAGCCTTAATTGATACTGGGGTGGAGGCCTTCCTAATTTATGGAAACCCTAATAGCTTCAAAAAGGGATGCTTATTGCTATTACTGGAATTAGAGGAAATGGAAAATAAAATTTACAATGAAAACAGGAAAATTACCTTGGAAAGAATATTTTGTAGTGTTTGTGCCTATCATAAAATATATAATAGGAATAAATATTCCTCAAGGTATGGCCTTGAATTAACTTGAAAAATATCAACTTGCTAAAAAATAGTTACTAAAACAGTTTTAGTAAGTAAAATCCCTATGCTGCTGGTGAGATTACCACAGCTAAGGTGGTTGCTTTGAAAACAATATTGCATTTCTGGAAGAAATCACTGATATTATTAAAGAATATACATAAAATAGAGGTAAACTAGATAAACATGGAATTGCACCATTACATGAAAGAATAGCTAATGAAGGATCCTCTCCAATGTGTAAAACACCTTCCACCTTGCAAACAACAACAACAACAACAACAAAAAACTCTCTCCTCTCTGTTGAAATGCAAGATACAGTAAGTTAACCAAGGAGGCAGTTCACTAGGCTAATCCTCTGCCTGCGGCGCCGGCATCCCAGGTTCTAGCCCTGGTCGGGGTGCCAGATTCTGTCCTGGTTGCTCCGCTTCCAGTCCAGCTCTGTGCTGTGGCCCGGGAAGGCAGTGGAGGATGGCCCAAGTGCTTGGGCCCTGCATCCTCACGGGAGACCAGGAAGAAGTACCTGGCTCCTGGCTTCAGATGCGTGAAGTGCGCTGGCCGTCGTGGCCATTTGGGGTGAGGGGGGTGAACCAACAGAAGGAAGACCTTTCTCTCTGTCTCTCTCACTAACTCTGCCTGTCAAAAAAAAGTAATAATAATAAGTTAACTGAGGAGCAGAAACAACATGTTTGGATCACTGATGAAACAGCAAAGCATGTAAGACAGTGTATCGCTGGAAGGCAATTGTATATAACCTTTGCACAAAAGTGATTTTTAGAAATCACTGGGGCTCCATGGCCTGGGTGGGCAGTGCTTATGAAACGGAACACAACCAAAGTATGGATATGGGAAACCAACACCCTTCCATTAATAGGCTCCAGGAAATCCAGAAGGAAGTGAGGAACATAGAACAGCAAGTCATCAGCTTCAGTGGCCTGTCAATGACAAGAATTACAAGCAACTGGAGAGGATTCTACGACACAGCTTTTTGAAATAGACTCCGTGGAAAAAAAGGGAAAAGAAGACATCCGGGCGGTCAGGAAGAGGACGCCCAGGAGACCCAGCGCCTCCTCAAGGAGCTGGGGCAGAATCGCAGCCTCCCACACCCCGCTGAGACCCAGAACGTCCTCAAGGAGGCCCAGTCTCTGGTGCAGGGGATAGTGTCTTTCTATAGCTGGGGGCAGCTGCGCCGCCGCCGACTTCGGGGAGAGCATCCAGGACGTCATCTTGAGGCTGAAGCACGTGATGAAAACCGCGGGAGGATCTCGCTGCAGAAAGCAAGATATCTCTCCTTAACCAAAATCTGCGCCATGCAAGAAATTATCGAAGACGGCATCAGAAAGCAGCCCTCACTGCCACTCTCTGAGGATGCACGCCCGTCCGTTGCCAAGATCAGTTCTGCGATGCGCACAGTGGACAGGCCCGTGGCACGGTGACCACGCTTCTGATGGGTGCGTGCTCACGTACACTCTCAGAGCATGCGCACCCATGCATTGCCAAGATCAGTTCTGTGATGCACACAATTGCCAAGATCAGTTCTGCGATGCGCACAGTGGACAGGCCCGTGGCACGGTGACCACGCTTCTGATGGGTGTGTGCTCACGTACACTCTCAGAGCATGCGCACCCGTGCATTGTCAAGATCAGTTCTGTGATGCGTACAGTGGACAGGCCCGTGGCACGGTGACCACGCTTCTGATGGGTGTGTGCTCACGTACACTCTCAGAGCATGCTCACCCATGCATTGCCAAGATCAGTTCTGCGATGCGCACAGTGGACAGGCCCGTGACACGGTGATCATGCTTCTGATGGGTGTGTGCTGGATGAGACCGGCTGGCACCTGTTCTGCGTGCTCTCGGGGCTGGTGGCCGACCTGGATGCTCTGGACGTGTGTGGGGGCACGGACATCAGAAGCTACCGAAGGGAAGAGGTCGAAGACATCAACAAGTTATTGAAATATTGGATTTAGAAGAGGAAGCAGACACTTAGGCGTGTGACCTGGGACAGATTCCCACTTGTCTCAGTACAGCCCCCAGGGCCCCTCCTGCTGAACATGTTGTAGACCATGCACAGTGCAGCCAAGCGGGAGCTCCCAGCACCTGCAGGGTCTCCGCGCGGGTCCGTGGAACGCTCATTTTGACCAGAGTTGTTTAACGTTAGTTGCCAACATTTCCCCTCAGAGCACCCATCGCTCTAAGCTGACTGTCGCAGGTTTGTGCAGCGGGTGAGGAGCTGCGCTGCGGGCTGTGGGCACGGACGTGAGCAAAGTCGACCTTGAGCGGCCTTTCAGCAGGGCTTGGTGTCCTCTTCTAAGTCCCTCCTAGCCCCCCGGCGCCCCTGATGCTGCCCCAGAAGGAGCCCTAGTGCACAGGGCCTGTAGCATCCGGACCTGCTGGGAGCTGGGCGTGTGCCTGGCTGCCGCGTGCCATCGCTAACCTGCATTCATCACGTTGTATTGTAGCGTTCCGATCTCACGCCAAGAGAGTCTGCACGGAAGTGAAAGCTACTCCCCAAAATGTGTGTTCTCGGGTCTGCATCAACACGGAATCCACGTTCACGGAGAAACAGCTGGTGGTGTCGCTTTCTTGGCCTTGACTCAGCAGCGCCATCTGCTGCCGCGGTCCCTGCAGGGAGGCCGCCGCCTACCATCGGCGCAATGAGTGTGTTTGGGGCTAGGGTTTAACGCTGTGTTCCGCGAGAACACCGGTGTATTTGGTGCATGTTAGTGTCTGCAGTTTTTCTCGCTTGTTTATTCGCCCGGTTTTTGTCTGGTTTTGGGGGATCGAAGTTCATTTTGTCTGTGCACGTCTTCTTGGGCAACGCTTTTATCACTCAGGTGTTTTCCCCTGGAGAAGGATTGGACGAATAGTTGCCGCTGACTGATCCATCACACTGCGCTGAGTTCCCGCCCCTCTGCTAACTGCAACTATTGTACTGGGGGGTGGGGGGCTCCAATCGAAAAGGAAACAAAGTTGCCAAGCCTTGGCTTGCTCGACAAGGCCGCTGAGCCTTTGCTCCAGTTTGCCGCACTTGCGCATCCCAGTGACTCAGCGTTCCCAACAATCCAAGATGGCCCCCGGGGGCGGTGCCTAGCCTGACAGGAGACTTCCTTATTCGTGAACAGTGTGTGTCCTCAGTTGTGATTGGCCCTTGAGGGCGTGCCCGGCCCTTGTCCTGCCTCTGCTTTCAGCTGGTTGGCTCAGTTCCCTTGTGCCCTGGACGGCCGCCTTTCTGTGTCTATAAAAGCTCTTCACCTCCCAATAAAGTGGAGAATCAGGCTGCGCCCTGGGCGTTGACCCATCTCCCAGCTCTGGTGTGGTTCCTTGGCCGCTGACACTCGTCATCCCGCTCTGCCCCGGAGCTCCCCAGGCTGGCCCTGAGGAGCTCTATCGGACCTGCTGCCCCTTAGCGAGCAGCAGTACTGGTGTGTCTGAAATAACTCATTGTTCTAAATGTACCTATTAGTGTGCACTTGATGATTAATGAAATAAATCTTGGCTTTGTCTTTGTGGTGGGAAAAAAAAAGAAGAAACCACTAGTACACAGTTAAGTAGGCAATTAGCTCGAATTAAAAGCAGTACAGTAGGCCTTTGTTAATAAAAGGGGAGGAGAATATCACGTTTTTACTGGCTCATGGGCAGTTGCAAATAAAATAGCTACATAGATGCCTATTTGGAAGGATTGAAACTCGGAAATTCATGATTGAGACTTATGGGATAAGTAATTGTGGCGAGACATTTTGGACATTTCACAAAATACTAACATCTTTCTTCTTTATGTAGATGCCCTTGCTGCTATGAAATCTGAACATGAGTATAATGATCAAGTGGAACAACTGGCTAAAATTGCATCTAATAAAAAAAATCAAAAAGAAGAGGACTATTCTCTGGCAAAATACGTATGCCATCAATCAGCCTACATAGAAGCACAAGCTATGCACAGGTGGGCATTAGCTGGAGGAATATCATTTATCCATTTTAACACCAACAAAAGGAAATGAAATTTGTAAAAATACCAAGAATGGAAAGTACCACAAATAATTGGAGGATAATTTGCTTGAAGAACTTTACCAGCTCAAATATGATAAATAGATTCTGTAGGACCTTTACCTACTAATAGAGAATACCAATATTATTTGTACTTGTATAGAGACATATTCTGGAATATTAGTGACTTGTCTTTATCAGTGAGCTACTCAGAATACCTGCTGTACACTGGATGTAATCACCCTATATTTTGGGCCTCCTTTACAAATTCAGGGAGGCAATCATTCCCATAGTAAAGGAAATCAAACATTGCAGTGAACACAATTTAGAATGGATGTATCATATTCCTTATTATCCTCAAGCAGTATGTCTTATTGAGAATGAATGGTCTTTTCAAGGAATATTTAAGAAAAGAGAATTCTTGTGCAAATTGGAAAGATAATTTATTCTTAAGATCATAACCAATAAAATAGACCCCAAGGAGAGCTACTCCTATAGCCTTAATAATGGCTTCAGATTTACAAATTCAATATCTGGTCAAAGTCATCATTAAATGGTGGATTCTGGGTTCTTGAGCTCAAGCTTCATATTAGGGGACTCTGGTCAGTGGTAGTGATTTAGTGCTAATTAGAAGAATGGGTAGATACAGAACTAATTAAAGGAATACCAACTGGATTAGGCATACAAATTCCTTACAGGGTATTTTGGACATTTACTACCTAATCTACCTTTGCAAAACAAAAAATACAAATTTCAGAGGGCATAATAAACTCTATGTAGGTAAAGTTCAGTTTTGATTCACAACACTGGGAAGGAGCCTTGGCATGTCCTTCCCAAGGATTGTTTGTCCAGTTAAAAAGGTGACCTTGGGAAGATTGTCACAGGCCCTAGATGTCATCACCCACATGGGAGAATTTGGCTCCACAAAAATTAAAAAATTTAAAAGCCTATTTTAAGGTGTAACCTGATAATTCCTGGTCTAAAATCTTGTAACTGGAACAGAAGGTCTTGGTATGATACTATACTTGGTGCAGCAGAAGCGGATTTGGGTGTTGTCAATTCTCTGGACTTTGAGAGCCTGGCCAAGCAGACAGGGCAGTGTTCTGCAGGATTTGTCTCAGGCATAAGTAGTCAATGCTCAATAGTTGCCCATGACATTTCTGTCCCACCAAAATACCATTAATTGTGAAAAAGAACCATTCTATAATAGCCAATTTTGGTACCTATTTTGGAATAGGTACCAATGTTACTATATTTCTTATCTAAACCCTTACAAAATATGTATATGTTAATTTAGAAAGAAAATGTACAACACCTGTTAACCACAGGGACAGATTTACATGGAGGAAATTGTTTTCCCCATGTATACTAGCAGACCATTGGTTAGGTCTGAATAATCAGGGAAATTGTGCTATTTTTTTTGTATAGGAACCATATATCATTACTATGTATACTTACCCTATGTGTTATGCCAATTTCACGTTATTCCTTTTATACCCCATCAATATTTTGCTTTGCCCCACAAAATTGGAACCCTATTGGCCCTGATAACGTTACTTACCAACTATCTGTATGTATAGCCTTTTATTTTGGATTGATAGTGGATGATAGAGTAGGCAAATAGAACCATGAATGTTAATGCATTCTTCTAATCTATATAACTTAACTTTTTATCCTGTCACAAATTTTTCTATGCTATACAAAGTCCCTCCCAAGCAAGTTTGTATAGTAAATAATAATCAAAGCAATTTAAAGTATCTTGATCAAGTTTCTCCTTTTTTCTGGGTGTTGGCAACATTTTAAAATTTTCCACTGGCAGTGTGATGTTTTTTACTCTCCCCTGAACAAATGGATAATGCTGCCTTTCCAAAGTCTCTAACCCTGTCACTTCCTAGTGTTTATGCTTCATTATGGCCCCTTTTAAATATATTGCAAAATGCTTCCCAGGTAGCTACCTTGCTTCAGCACAATAAAGATAACAAATCAATACAAAGTAAGAACTCACATAGTTGATAAAAAAAATTGAAGGTATCTCACCCTTAGTTACTAGTGACACTATCATCATTTGTATGATTTCATTTTAAAATCACCTACTGCACTAAAATATTTTTACACTTGTTTAATCCTTTATTGTTGCTGAAATTGTTATTGTGCTATTTTGTTGTATTGTCTTCCTGTATACCAAAATAAAAAAATGTAAGTTTACCCCCAAGTTATGGATGGATTATGTGACAGACATGTCAGATCTTAAGGCTGAATGAAGAGTTACTTTCCTATGCCCTTGTCTATACCATGAACTCAGTGACCTAAGTCTGAATGTACAGATTTTCCTACAGGCTTGGCTTGCTTACAGGAAAACAAGATAGGGAGCAAGGACAGATGTGTGTTCCTCTGGGTTCCTAGCCAGTTCCAAGAAAAATGGACAATCTACCTAGTCACACGTGGATTCTTTGTTCAGAATAATTTTAAGAGACCACTGGAGGGAGAGACTTTGAAATCTCACCTGCACAGATGAGGCAATATGTGGGACCTCCCAAGGAGAACCCTGAAAAGCTGCCCTGGGATTCCCCAGTTGTGAAGTTTTAGGAGCTGGCATTTTCCCCCAATTTGATGTTTTCTGCTTAACTTTTTCTTTCTCTTTGATTGTAAATAAATTTCTGGCTGTTCTATCTCTGTGTGGAGAGTGCTTGTTGCTCACAGATTTGGCCCTGCTGAATTCTGCAGCTGCACTTTAAAGTAGCTCTTTAATGCTACACACATGCAGCCAGGTTCACTTTTTGTTTTACGTTTGAAGTGATTACCATCACCTTTGTGGATCAGGAGCCTGTACTGTAAAAGTAACGTTTGTCATAAGTCTAACCTCAAGTCACCAAGCATGGCTTTCTGATTAGGGCATCATCCAGTCCCTGTCATTGCAGCAGTTGTCTCAGAAGCAGCCATGTCTATGATTTTTTGGAACCCACTAGGGACATATGTCATCAGGTTCTGTCCCAGGAAATGCATATCTTTACATATAGACATGTATATCTTTGTTACTTTTGGGGGATACTCAGGAAAATAAATTTGCTTCTTTTTTTAAATTGTCTAAAATACAATTTCTTAGCCTCACTTTCCCTTTAATCTATTTGTTCTATATCTTTGTCAAACCAGTGATTAAGAATGCTATACTACTATAGTTTTCATGATCAACTGGTGCACCGTGCTGATCTGGAGCCAGGAGCCAGGTGCTTCTCCTGGTCTCCCAGGGTGCAGGGCCCAAGTACTTGGGCCATCCTCCACTGCCCTCCCAGGCCACAGCAGAGAGCTGGACTGGAAGAGGGGCAACTGGGACAGAATCCGGCACCCCGACTGGGACTAGAACCCGGGGTGCCAGTGCTGCAGGCGGAGGATTAGCCTATTGAGCCATGGCACCGGCCCCTGTCAAATTTCAGTTGCATTTTTGTTAGGTCTTTCATTTGATTGAATACATTTACAAAAGAAATGAATGCCTCTGAAAGCAGAAAGTTAAACTTTCATAAAGGCTGACATCTTGGATTCCAGTTTCACTATCATCATGTCCATAAACATTGTTACATCAGCTGTGTGACTTTCTAAGGACCACATTGGAATAGTGAAACTTACACAATGTGAGGTCCTTCACTCCATGAGGGAAACACGTCATTATATATTTTGATAAAATGATCATTTTTTTTCAGTGTTAAATATCAATTGCAACTGAATTTAATCTTCTTAAAAACAACTATAAATAAGTAAAACTGATATTTCTTAAGTTTTTGCTTAAAAATCATTCTGGCTTTGTTATGGGAAGTGAGTCCAGTCAGGGCAGCCCCAGTGGGTGAGGAGAAAGTGGCTGCAGGGATTGAAACCTGTTGGTACGTCAGGCTGAGACAGAGCAGCCTTGAGTCCTGTGTGACTGTCATTTCTCATTGAAACTTCAAGCCAGGGACTCTTTTGAGTTGGCCAGAGTGGGAAAATTCTATAAATCTGAACAAGATTTAGGAAGCTGTTAAATAAGTATCACTGGGCTCCAGAAATCCTAATGATCAAGTTTCATTGCAGCAGTGCTATTGAAATCAGCTTTGTCAGATGTATCTTTGCATAACTACTAGGACAAAAAATTATGTATCAGTCACAGAGTACCATTAAGCAGTTGAATTTGACCACAGACCATCTCTGGGAGCAATCATGACAGCTTCTTGAGGCACTATGACACACGCACTCCAGAGTCCTCATAAACAGCTGTCTCTTCCTGTACCCTGTACCCTTTCTAGCAGGCAACACATGAAGAGATGAAGCTATTCACCTTTGTAGGCTGTTAGGCTTTGGTCCAAATAAAAGAATAGCCACTTAGGATGCCTTAGCCCACTCCTATCTAGATGAACGATGACTATGATACCGCTTGTGTATATGTAAATCTTGTTTTCCACCTCTAGAGGAGGAGTTTGTAACAGTGACTTTGAGCCATCACCAATCCAAAATTTGATAACACTATTGATAAGAATCTCAGGTCTCTAAATCAGCTTAAATATTCACCAGTTCCTTTTTGGAACAGCAAAAGGAAACAGAATGCTTCTTTGCATCAACTCTCAGTTTGGTCTGTGACTTTACAAGCTTTGTTTGTTTCACTGTTACTTAGCCCTCTGCCATATCCCCAACTAGTCTTGTTTGGGAGTGACTGTATATTTGAGCCATTCCTAAGGATTTAAGATTTTCTAAAACAAAAGAATCTAAAAACCTTGGCTATGACAAATCAAGAAACCTCATGAGTTCATCATGGCTGCACTTGGGGAGTGAGTGGTCAGGAAGTAAGGAGAGGCAGATTATCTAATAACTAATCCCTATGATTAGCTTCTCATTAGAGCTGTGAAGGTCATGTGTGTTTCCTACAATCCAACATTAGGGGCTAGCATTTTGGCTCAATGGGTTAGGCTGTTGTTCCTTCTTTGATGGCCTGTTCTTTCCGCTGGGATTTCACTCACAGAGATCTTTCATTTAGTCATTTTTTTGCCACAGTGTTTTGGCTTCCCATGCCTGAAATACTCTTATGGGGTTTTTGGCCAGAACTTAATACTTTAAGGGCTGATTCTGAGGCCAGAGTGCTGTTTAGGGCATTTGCCATTCTGTGAGTCTGCTGTGTATCCTGATCCCCATGTTGGGTCATACTCTCCTTTTCAATTCTATCAGTTATTATTAGCAGACACTGGTCTTATTTATGTGATCCCTTTGAAGCTTAATCCTATCATTATCATCAATTATGAACTTAAACTTATCACTTTAACTAGTAAGATGGCATTGGTACTTGACAACTTAATGGGATTTGGAGTCCATGGCACATTTCTAGCTCTACCATTGGGGTAAGAACGATTGAATATGTGCCGAACTGTACATCTCCTCCCTCTCTTATTTCCACTATTATTTTACCAGGGATCAATTTTCAATTATATTTATTTATTTTTGACAGGTAGAGTTAGACAGTGAGATAAAGAGAGAGAGACAGAGAGAAAGGTCTTCCTTCCGTTGCTTCACCCCCACAAATGGCCAGTATGGCTGCTGTGTTGCGCTGATCTGAAGCCAGGAGCCAGGTGCTTCCTCCTGGTCTCCCATGCGGGTGCAGGCCTGAAGCACTTGGGCCATCCTCCACTGCCTTCCCGGGCCACAGCAGAGAGTTGGACTGGAAGAGGAGCAACCAGGACAGAATCCACGCCCCAACTGGGACTAGAATCCGGGATGCCGGCGCCACAGGTGGAGGATTAGCCAAGTGAGCCACGGTGCTGGCTCAATTATATTTAAACACCTAATAATAATTGTGGTTTTTTCTAAACTTTTTTTAAACTTTTATTTAATAAATATAAATTTCCAAAGTACAGTGTATGGATGGATTATAGCAGCTTTTCCCCCTCATAACCTCCCTCCCACCCCAACCATCCCATCTCTCACTCCCACTCCCTCTCCCATCCCATTCACATCAAGATTAATTTTAAATTATCTTTATATACAGAAGATCAATTTAGTATATACTAAGTAAAGATTTCAATATTTTTTACCCACACAGAAACACAAAGTATTAAGTACTGTTTGAGTACTAGTTATGTTGTTAATTCACATAGTACAACACATTAAGCACAGAGATCCTACATGGGGAGTAAGTGCACAGTGATTCCTGTTGTTGATTTAACAGTTGACACTCTCTTTTATGACATCAGTAATCACCTGAGGCTCTTGTTGTGAGCTGCCAAGGCTATGGAAGCCTCTTGAGTTCTCAAACTCCGATCTTATTTAGACAAGGCCATAGTCAAAGTGGAAGTTCTCTCCTCCCCTTCAGAGAAAGTTACCTCCTTCTTTGATGGCCCATACTTTCCACTGGGATCTCACTCACAGAGATCGTTCATTTAGGTCATTTTTTTTGCCACAGTGTTTTGGCTTTACAGCCTGAAATATTCTCATGGACTTTTTAGCTGGATCCAAATGCCTTAAGGGCTGATTCTGAGGCCAGAGTGCTGTTTAGAACATCTGCCACTCTATGAGTCTGCTGTGTATCCTGATCCCCATGTAGGATCATTCTCTCCTTTTAAATTCTGTCAGTTATTATTAGCAGACACTAGTCTTGTTTATGTGGTCCCTTTGGCTCTTAATCCTATCATTATGATCAATTATGAACTGAAACTGGTCACTTTGACTAGTGTGATGGCATTGGTAGTTGATGGAATTGAATTGGAATCCCCTAGTACATTTCTAACTCTACCATTAGGAGTAAGTCCGATTGAGCATGTGCTGAACAGTACCTCTCCTCCCTCTCTTATTCCCACTCTTATATTTAACAGGGATAACTTTTCAGTTAAATTTAAACACCTAAGAATAATTGTGTGTTAATTAAAGAGTTCAACCAATGGTATTGAGTAGAACAAAAAATACTGAAAGGAATAAAATAGTAAGTTGTTCCTTGACAGGACAAAGGGCTAATCATGTCATTGTTTCTCATAGTGTCAGTTTCACTTTAACAGGTTTCCTTTTAGGTGCACAGTTAGCTGTCACCAATCAGGGAGAACATATGATATTTGTCCCTTTGGGACTGGCTTATTTCACTCAGCATGTTTTCCAGGTTCCTCCATTTTGTTGCAAAAGACCAGATTTCATTTTTTTTTTTACTGCTGTATGGTATTCTGTAGTGCACATATCCCATAATTTCTTTATCCAGTCTTCTGTTGATGGGCATTTAGGTTGACTCCATGTCTTAGCTATTGTGAATTGAGCTGCAATAAACATGGAGGTGCAGATAGCTTTTTTATTTGCCAATTTAATTTCCTTTGGGTAAATTCTGAGGAGTGGGATGGCTGGGTCGTGTGGTAGGGCTATATTCGGGTTTCTGAGGTATCTCCAAACTGTCTTCCATAGTGGCTTTACCAGTTTGCATTCCCACCAACTGGGAGTTAGTGTCTTTTTTTTTCCATAACCTCACCTGCATCTGCTGTTTGTTGATTTCTGTATGTAAGCTAGTCTAACCGGGGTGAGGTGAAACCTCATTGTGGTTTTGTTTTGCATTTCCCTGATGGCTAGTGATCCTGAACATTTTTTCATGTGTCTTTTGGCCGTTTGGATTTTCTCTTTTGAAAATTGTCTAGTGGGGTTGGCGCTGTGGCGCAGCGGGTTTACACCCTGGCTTGCAGCGCTGGCATCCCATGTGGGTACCAGTTCTAGACTCAGCTGCTCCACTTTCTATCCAGCTTTCTGCGGTGTCCTGGGAAAGTAGTGGAAGATGGCCCATGTCCTTGGGCTCCTGCACCTGCGTGGGAGACCCAGAAGAAGCTCATGGCTCCTGGCTTCAGATTGGTGCAGCACTGGCCATTGCTGCCATTTGGGAGTGAACCATCGGATGGAAGACCTCTCTCTTTCTCTCTGCCTCTCCTCTGTGTAACTCTGCCTTTCAAATAAATAAATAAATCTTAAAAAAAAGAAAAACAAAAATTGTCTCTTAAGTCCTTGACCCATCTCTTAAGTGGGTTGTTTTGTTGTTGTGCAGTTTCTTGATCTCTTTGTAGATTTCTGGTTATTAATCCTTTATCAGTGGCATACTTTGCAAATATTATCTCTCATTCTGTCAGTTGCCTCTTTACTTTTATGGCTGATTCTTTTGTAGTACAGAAACTTCTCAATTTAATGCAGTCCCAGTTGTTTGATTTTCTATACCTCTGGGATATTTTCAAAGAAGTTTTTATCTGGGTCTATATTTTGGAGGGTTTTTCCTATGTTCTCTAATAATTTGATGGTGTCAATTCATAGATCTAGATCTTTAATCCATGTTGAGTGGATTTTTGTTTAAGGTGTACAGTAGGCATCTTGCTTCATGCTTCTGCATGGGAAATCCAGTTTTCCCATCCCATTTGTGGAATAGGCTTTCCTTGCTCCAGGAATTGGTTTTAGTTCCTTGATCAAATATAAGGTGGTTGTAGATGTTTGGATTGATTTCTGTTCTTCCTATTCTATTCCATTGGCCTATTCATCTGTTTCTGTACCAGTGCCATGCTGTTTTGATTATAACTGCACTGTAGTATGTCTTGAGATCTCATATTGTGATGCTTCCATCTCTGTTTTTGTTGTCCAAGATTGCTTTAGCTATTCAAGGTATCCTGTGTCTCCATATGAATTTCAGCATCATTTTTTCCAGATCTGAGAAGAATGTCTTTGGTATTTTGATTGTCATTGCATTTAATCTGTAAATTGCTTTTGGAAGAATGGACATTTGGATGATATTGATTCTTCCAATCCATGAGCATGGAAGATTTTTCCATTTTTTGGTATCCTCTTCTATTTCTTTAAGATTTTGTAATTCTCATCATAGAGATCTTTGATGTCCTTGGTTAAGTTTATTCCAAGGTATTTGATTGTTTTTGTAGCTATTGTGAATGGGATTGATCTTAGAAGTTCTTTCTCAGCTGTCACATTGCCTGTGTATACAAATGTTGGTTTCTGTGCATTGATTTTATATCTTTCTCCCTTCCCAAACTATTTTATGAGTTTGAATATTCTCTTAGTGGAATTCTTTTGATCCACTAAATAAGGAATCTCATCATCTGCAATGAAGGATCATTTGACTTCTTTCTTCCTAATTTGTATCCCTTTGATTTTTCTTGCCTAATGGCTCTGGCTAAAACTTCCAGTACTATATTAAATAGCAGTGGTGAGAGTGGACATCCCTGTCTGGTACCAGATCTCAGTGAAATGCTTCCAACTTTTCCCCAGTCAATAGGATTCTGGCTGTAGGTTTTTCATAAATTGCCTTGATTGTGTTGACGAATGTTCCTTCTAGATTGAATTTGTTTAGAGTTTTCATCATGAAATGGCGTTGCATTTTATCAAATGCTTTCACTGCATCTGTTGAGATAATCATATGGTTTTTCTTCTGCATTTTGTTAATGTGGTATATCTTATTGATTTGTGAACATTGAACTATCCCTGCAGTCCAGGGATAAATATCACTTGGTCTGGGTGGATGATTCGATTAGCCTGAATTTTATTGAGGATTTTTGCTTCTATGTTCATTAGGGAAACTGATCTGTAATTCTCTTTCTCTGCTGCATCTTTTTCAGGTTTAGGAATTAAGGTGATGCTGGCTTCATAGAAAGAATTTGGGAGGATTCCCTCTCTTTCAATTGTTTTGAATACTTTGAGAAGGATTGCAGTCACTTTTTCTTTAAATGTCTGGTAGAATTCAGCAGTGAATCCATCTGGTTCTGGCTTTTCTTTGTTGGGAGAGCCTTTATTACTGACTCAATTTCTGACTCGACTATGGATCTGTTTAGGTTTTCTATGTATTCCTGGTTCTAGTTAGGTAGGTTGTATGTGTCCAGGAATCTATCCATTTCTGCTAGATTTTCCAGTTTGTTGGCATACAACTCTTTGTAGTAATTTCTGATGATTCTTTTTTTTCTGTGGTGTCTATTGTTAAGTTCCCCTTTTCATCTCTAATTTTATTGATTTGGGGCTTCTCTCTCCTTTTTTTGTTAGTTGGGTCAATGGTGTGTCAATTTTGTTTATGTTTTCAAAAAGAAAACAGCTCTTCATTTTGCTGACCTTTTGTAATGTTTTATTTGGGATTCAATTTTGTTGATTTCTTCTTTAATTTTAATTATTCTATTCTCCTACTAGTTTTGCTTTTGGTTTGCTGTGGTTTTTCTCGATCCTTCAGAGGCACTGAAAGCTCATTTATTTGGCGCCTTTCCAATTTCTGATGTAGGCACCTATTGCTTTAAGCTTGCCTCTTAACATTGCTTTTGCTGTATCCCATAAGTTTTCATATGTTGTGTTGTGATCTTCATTTGCTTTCAGAAAGCATTTGATTTCTTCTATGACCCAATGTTCATTCAGGAGCATGTTGTTCAGTTTCCATATGTTTGCATATGATCTGAAGATTCCTGAGTTTTTGTATGAAAATCTGGTAAGCAAGATGGTAAGCAATCTTTTTTATTTTGTTTCCTGTTGGCATGGAATATCTTTTTCCAACCTTTCATTTTAAGTCTGCATGCACCTTTGTTGGAAAGATGTGTTTTTTGTAAGCAGCAAATAGATGGGTTTGGTTTTTTAATCCGTTCAGCCAGTCAGGGCCTTTTAACTGGAGAGTTGAGGCCATTTGCATTCATTGTGACTATTGATATGTTGTGACTTTTCCCTGCCATTTTCCAATGATATTTCTAATTTATGCTTTGAACTTCCTCTGATCTTTTACTGAGAGATTTTCTTTCTTTACCTTCTTTTGTATTGATGACTGTGTTTTTGTGTTTCTCTGTGTAACACATCTTTAAGCACCTTTGCAGGGCTGGATGAGTGGTGACAAATTCTTTCAATTTCTGTTTGCTATGAAAGGTCTTTATTTCACCTTCATTCACAAATGAGAGCTTTGCAGGATATAATATTCTGGGGTGGGAGTTTTTTTCTCTTAGTACTTGGGCTATATATCACCATTCTATCCTACCCCGTAGGGTTTCTGATGAGAAGTCTGCTGTGAGTCTAATTGGAGATCCTCTGGAAGTAATCTGGCGTTTCTCTCTTGCACATTTTAGAATCTTTTCTTTATGTTTCATTGTCATGAGTTTGATTACAACGTGTCGTGGTGAGGATCTTTTCTGGTCATGTCTATTGGGAGATCTGTGTGCTTCCTGTACTTGGATGTCTCTTTCTTTCTCCAAACCTGGGAAGTTTTCTGCTAGTATCACACTAAAAAGGCCTTCTAATCCTTCTCTCCATGCCTTCAGGAACTCCTAGAACCCAAATGTTCGGTTTTTAATAGTATCCTGTAGATTCTCAACAATATTTTTTAGATTTCTAATTTCCTCTTCTTGTCTTTGGTTTGACTGTATACTTTGCTCTGTCTTCTAAGTCCAGTATTCTCTCTTCTGCCCCACTGATTCCGTTTTTAAGGCTCTTAATTGCATTTTTATTTGTTTTCTTGAATTCTTCATTTCATTTTGATTTCTCTTCAATATCTCAATTTCATGTTCTATTGAATTCTTCTTTTCATTTTTATTCCTTCTTAGGATTTCATTTTCATGAGAGAGATTTTCTTTCATGTCCTGCAGGGATTTCAGTAGTTCGTGTGTTTGCTTTTGATTACTTCTATGTATTCCTATCATCATTTTTTTGAATTCCATTTCTTGCATCTCATCATCTTCATAATCTTGTATTGAAGTTTCTTGTTCTTTTTGAAGCGTCATGTCGTCTTTCATATTCTTGTTTCTTGGGTTGTTGCATTTGTTGTTTGGCATTTGTGGAGATTCTTGTTGGTTTCTTCTTTTTTTTTCCCATTGTGGTGGATTTATCATTGTACTATGACTCTATAGATAAGTGGACTGTCTGCTCTCCGTGAATCTCTAGGAGCTTGTGGAGAGTGTGACCAGAGAGCTCTCTTCAATTCTTCAGCGTTAAGGGTGTGTCTAAGGTGATACACCCTGGTTAGGCATAGTAAATCTTCTCTTTCTTTTTGTTTAGTCAGAGGGGAAGTAATTCTGCTCAGCTGAGCTCTTTTCGATGGCGATCAGTGCCTGAGTTTTAGCCTCAGTGGTCTAATATTAATCTGCTGTGTCCCAAGGACCACACAAAAGATCTGTTCAGTCCTCAGTGTATGTTCAGATTCCCCAGCAATGTCTTTCACTGAGTAACCAGGACCGCCCAAGCTTGTAGCATCTCCCTCCTAGACTACTAAAAGTCTCGGCCACACCATGAGTTCTCCCACCTACCCTCAGTTTTTTTTTCCATAGTCCCGGTTCAGAAGCTTCACACAATCACAAGTTTCTAGCCACCTGTCATTTCTCCCCACCACAGTCAGGAGTCTCCACTCAGCTGATTGCCAGGAGCAGACACGAGCTGGTGCAGCTGTTACATATGTCTAAAATGGTGCCTGCTCTGTTGGCTTGTACACATTTATAAGGTGATTGGAGAGAGAGAGACGCGCCCATACTATCACTTTTATTTTTTTCTCTCCTCTAGTTAGGCTGGTATACTTTACCCCACAGGGCTTCAAGCCTCGTTTCCTCTAGGCTCCTTCTGCTGCTTTTTCACCAGTGTCTCAGGCTACTGCGGTCTCCTCTCACCTCTCTTTCCAGTGCTGGTGCAGAGGCTCTCGGCTTTTGGAGTCCTGAGCTGTAGGTGCCCACACCCTCCATGTAGGTCCACCGTGTCTCTCTAATTTCAGAAGAGTTTCCTCTTCTGGTTTTTTTCCCTAACTCTTCCCTGAGACTACACTATCTCCATTTTTATAAACTATCTTCTTTTGGACTAGATCCATTAGCTCCCTCCCTATTCTGCCATCTTGGAACCACCCCTCCCACTTTCCTCTTAAGATTGAAAGAACATATCTTACATCTCCCAGATAGTAGGTGGTGATAGGCTACCCTCATCCTTCTTTGATGGCCCTTTCTCTCCATTGAGGTCTCACAGGGATCCTCCACGTAGGATTTTTTTTTTGCCACAAAGTCTTGGCTTTCCATGCCTGAAATGGGAGCTTCCATCTTGGAATGGAAGTCTCACTCTCTGCAGCAGGAAGTGGAGGATATGCCATATTTAATGTTCCACATCCCTGATGCTAACACATTACTAGGCAAATAAACCAGTTCTCCAGATCAAAATTTACAATTAAGAGCATGCTTGATTTGAAAATCAAAGACCCCAAGGCAAAGCAGAATTTTCAATATCCTTGGAACCAGTCCATAAAATAAAGACTTTCTAAATTCTCAATCTTAGATAATTGTCTTTAAAACACATTACAAACAACTTAGAAACTTGAAACTAGCATCCTATGAAAATCCTTCTCATCTCTCTCCCCAAGTTCCATTAGCACTAACAGCATGTTTTCAAAACAAGAAACAGAAAAAGAAATCAATCCATGCTTCTTCCAAACGTTACCAGTGCCAAGACTCAAAGACAAACCATCTAAGTTAATCACTGTTTGCCCATTTTGGATGAAAATGCTAGCCAAAATGGCTGTGGTTTCTTGGGAAGGGCAAGGCTAGTTGGAGCTGCAAGCCATGCAGTGGCTGCCACTGTGCTGAGCACATGAGCAAGGTTCTCTCCCCACCCCAGTAGAATTTCATATATGAGAGAAGCCAGTGTGCATCCAGGGCAGGCCAGTGAAGCACGCAGAGCAGGTAGAACATGTCCAGCAGACCTGAGATGATCAGTTACATTGGTGGGAAGGATGAGAGGCTTCTAACCCCAACTCAGCTATTTCAGTTCCCTCCCATCCCCCAGGGTTGCACCCAGCATGACGCCTAGGCCATGAGCTACTGGAGCAAGGCAGGGGGCGAGAAAGCACAGCCAGCAAGGTCAGAGACGTGCACACTCACTGATCCAGGTTCAGTGCCCATGCAAGAGTTGAAAACTGCCCCTTACTCCAGCCTAGGAAGGATGTGCAAGGTAGTTTCTTTACCTGATTTAACGGGAAACCACTAACACAGAAGGTGGAGGAAGAGGAGTGCAAGAAGATGAATAGGGTTAGAAACCATGGGAAGCCAGCTCTTATGTTGCTGTTTTTTTTCCTTTTAAACCAATCAATATTAAAAATTTTGGGGAGTCCCTCCATTATAGAGGGTCCCATCTGGGTTGGCATTATGATACAGTCCTGTTTATTAATAATTTCCAGTATTAATAAGCCTGTGGGCTCTTGCCATGTATTCAAAGAAGAATTGTTAATGCTGGCTCAACTGGCCAACAACATGGTAAGTTTTTGAGGATTTTATTCAGTGAGAGAAATGTGCAGGAGAGTGAGGGCTTTGTTTAAAGGAGGAAGGAAAGTTTATTAGCTAAGTTTGGTCCATACCAAGCAGAGAGCAGGCCAGGAGACACGTGGAGCAAGCATTAAGGCAGGAAAGCAGGGAGCAGGTGGCCTGGAGGCTATGTGCCCCAAAGGCATGGGGCAACAGGGGCAACAAGTGCAGAAGGGCAAAAGGGCTCTACCAGACATTTTAAAAAGAACTAATTTAAATTCTTCACAAGCTATTCAAACAATGGAAAACAAGGATATCTTCACAAATTCCTTTTATGAAGCCTGCATCACCATAATTCCTTAGCCAGAAAAAGATACAACAGAGAAAGAGAACTATAGACCAATATCCCTGATTAACACAGATGCAAAAATTCTCAACAAAATATTAGCCAATTGAATCCAACAACACATCATAGATCAGTCACCGGGACCAAGTGAGATTTATTCTTGTATGCAGGGATGGTTCAACATGCAAAAATTAATGATTGTGATTAATCACATTAACAAGCAAAAGACCAAAGACATGTGATCTTCTCAATAGATGCAGATAAAGCATTTGACAAAATTCAACATCTTTTTATGATGAAAATGTTAAGCAAATTGGGTATAGAAGGAATATTCCTCAACATAATCAAAGCAATTTATTAAAAAAACCCAAAGCCAGCATGCTACTGAATGGGAAAAAATTGGAGGCTTTCACATTAAGATCTGGAACCAGATAAGGATCCCCACTCTCACCATTGCTAGTTGATGTAGTCCTGGATGATTTAGCCAGAACCAGCAAGTAAGAAAAAGAAATCAAAGGGATACAAATAGGGAAGAAAGCAGTCAAACTATCCCTATTTGCTGATGACATGATTCTATACACATGGAGCCCAAAAAAGTCCATGAAAATACTATTGGAACTCATAAAAGACTTTGGTAAAGTAACAGGAAATGAAACACAAAAATCAGCTTTTGTGTACATACACAACAACATAAATGAGAACTTCTAAGATCAATCCCATTCTTAATAGCTACAAAAATTTTATATACCTAGAAGTAAATTTAACCCTGAACATCAAAAATATCTATGATGAAAATTTCAATCTTATTCATCTTCTGTATATAAAGATAATTGAAAATGAATCTTGATGTGAATGGAATGGGAGAGGGAACAGGAGATGGGAGGGGTGTGAGTGGGAGGGAAATTATGGGGGGGAAGCCATTGTAATCCATTAACTGTACTTTGGAAATTTATGTTTACTAAATAAAAAAATAAAAAAATTCAAAACATTAAATAAAGGAATAGAAGAAGAAATAAAAATTGGAAAATCTTACATGTTCATGGATTGGAAGAATCAACATCTTCAAAATGTCCATACTACCAAAAGCAATTTATAGATTCAATGTGATATCAATCAAAATACCAACAATATTCTTCTTATGTCTACAAACAATCATGCTAAAATTCATATAGATGCACAAGAGACCACAGATAGCTAAGCAATCTTTTTTTTAACTTTTATTTAATGAATATAAATTTCCAAAGTACGGCTTATGGATTACAATGGTTTCCCCCCCATAACGTCCCTCCCACCCGCAACCCTCCCCTTTCCCACTCCCTCTCCCCTTCCATTCACATGAGGATTCATTTTCAATTCTCTTTATATACAGAAGATCAGTTTAGCATACATTAAGTAAAGATTTCAACAGTTTGCTCCCACACAGAAACATAAAGTGAAAAATAATAGATGATTTTTTAAATGATGATGAAATCAGATCAGACCTATTGTCATGTTTAATACCAGTGAGAGTCAAGTTGGGAATTGATAATTTCTTCTTTTTTTTTAACAGAAGATCAGTGTAGTATACATTAAGTAAAGATTTCAACAGTTTGCACCCCCATAGAAACACAAAGTGAAATATACTGTTTGAGTACTCATTATAGCATTAAGCCTCAATGTACAGCACATTAAGGACAGAGATCCTACATGAGGAGTAAGTGCACAGTGACTCCTGTTGTTGACTTTACAAATTGACACTCCTGTTTATGGCATCAGTAATCTCCCTATGCACCAGTCATGAGTTTCCAAGGCTATGGAAGCCCCTTGAGTTCTCCGACTCTTATCTTGTTTAGACAAGGTCTTAGTCAAAGTGGAGGTTCTCTCCTCCCTTCAGAGAAAGGTACCTCCTTCTTTGAAGACCTGTTCTTTCCACTGGGCTAAGTAATCTTAAACAACAAAAACAAACCTGGGGGCATCACAATACCAGACCTCAAGACATACTATAGGGCAGTTATAATCAAAACAGCCTGGTGGCTGGCACAAAAACAGACATGTGAGCAATAGAGCAAAATAGAAATTCCAGAAATAAATCTATGAATCTACAACCAACTTTTCTTTGACAAAGGAGCAAAAATCAACTCTTGGAGCCAAGACAGTCTCTTCAACAAATTGTGCTGGGAAAGTTGAATCTCCATGTGCAGAAGTATAAAACAAGCCCCTCCCTTACCCCTTGCACAAAAATACACTCAAAATGGAAAAAAGACCTAAATCTATGATGTCATACCTTCAAATTTTCAGAGAACATAGTCAAAACCCTACAAGACGTTGGCATAGGGACTTATTGGAAAAGACCCCAGAAGCACAGGCAATCAAAGCCAAAATTGATAAATGGGATTACATCAGACTGAAAAGCTTCTGCACTACCAAAAACACTAGAAAAGTGAAGAGGCAACCAAAAGAATGGGAGAAGATATTTGCAAACAATGTGACTGACAAAGGAGTAACTTCCAGGATCTGTAAAGAACTCAAGAAACTAAACAACACCAAAACAATCCATTTAAAGAAAGGGCAACGGAACTAAACAGACATTTTTTTATGAGAGGAAATTCAAATGGCCAGTAGACACAGGAAATACTGCTCAGGATCGCTAGCCATCATGGAACTGCAAATAAAAACCACAATGAGGTTTTTTCTCATCCCTATTAGAATGGTTCACATACATAAAACAAAGAACAACAAATGCTGGCAATGATGTGGGGAGCTGGGCCCCTTAATCCACTGTTGATGGAAATGGAAACTGGTACAGACACTTGGAAGACAGTATAGAGATATCTCAGAAAGCTGAATCTAGACCTATGATATGGCCCAGCCATCCCACTCATGGGAATTTATCCAAAGGAAATGAAATCAGCATATGAATGAATTATCTGTACCCCCATATTCATTTCAGCTCAATTTATAATAACTAAGATATGAAATCAACCCAGATGTCCATCAACTGAAGACTGGTTAAAGAAATTATGGTATATATACACTATGGAATGCTATACAGCAGTAGAAAAATGAAATCTTGTCATTTGCAACAAGATGGAAGCAATTGGAAACCTTTATACTTAGTGAAATAAGCCAGTCACAAAAGGACATATACCATATGGTCTCTCTGTTCTATGGTAACTAATAGTGTACTCAAAATGTAATCTCCGGGAGCAAAACTGACACTTTGAGATATGATGATTTTGAACAGCCCTTGCCTGACCTGTTGAAGAACAATGTTTTTCTTTTTTTTTTCCCTTCTTTTTTTCTTCATACTAATCTGTGAACTTTCTACCTGGTGTAGGGTTAATTTTATGAGTATAACAATTAACTGAAAATTGATCTCTGTAAAAAATAAGAATGAGAAAGGAAGAGGGAGAAGTAAGAAAAATGGGATTATGGGTGGGAGGGATGTGGGGGGAGGGAAGAGGCATCATGTTCCCAAATCTGTATATGTTAAAAAAAAATTAAAAAGGTGAGATTCTTAGAAAAGTTCACCGTATAAACCCCACCCCCCAAAAAAAGAGCGTTTCTATGGTTTGGTTTGAATCTGCTTTGTTATTTTACCAGGAGGTTCTCTGTTGTCACTTTTTTTCATGATGCTGACCACCTCTCTCTCTCTTTATGTAGTACTACATCCTTTAGTATCATGTGTAAGGTTTAGCAGGTGTTGAGAAATTCTTTCAATTTTTGATTGTCTTAGAAGATATTTATTTCACCTTCATTTATGAATGAGAGTTTTGCTGCATAAAATATGCTAGACTGTTCCAGTATTTTTTTTCCTTCTAGACCTTTAGCTCTATCTCTCCATTCTCTTCTGGCCAGTGGGGGTTTTTAGTGAGAATTATTCTTTCAATCTGATAGGAGTTCCTTTAGATGTGAGCTTTTGTTTCTTTAAGAAAATATTATAGTCTCTTAATGTTTTATTTTTGAACATTTGACTACAATGGTGAGGAACTTTTCTGATCATGCATATATAAGGTTCTATTTGCTTCTAATATTTTGATGTCCATATATTTCTCCAAAGTGGGGGAAATCTCTGGTATCATTTCATTGCATTGGTTTCATAGATCATTTTTTTTCTATTCCTTTTTGCCTTCCTAGGACTTGTATAGTTGGTCATTTGATGGTATCCCATAGATCACTAATCCGATTTTAATTCTAATTTTTCTTCTTTTGTAGGTCTTATTGAAATAGTTCAACAGCCCTGAAGTTCTATATCAGATGTCATTTTTTCCTGATTCATTTATTCTGTTTTAAGGTTTTCTGATTTATTTTAACTTACTGTATGCTTCACTTCTAATATTTCTGTGTGGTTATTTTTCAATTCTTCTATCTCTGTTGAATTTCTTATCCTTATAATGTGTAGGTTTCCTAGCTTAAATTAACTGCTTATCTTTTTATTTTTTTATTTTATTTTTTTTTTTATTTTTTTGACAGGCAGAGTGGACAGTGAGAGAGAGAGACAGAGAGAAAGGTCTTCCTTTGCCGTTGGTTCACCCTCCAATGGCCGCCGCGGCCAGAGCGCTGCGGCCGGCGCACCGCGCTGATCCGATGGCAGGAGCCAGGAGCCAGGTGCTTTTCCTGGTCTCCCATGGGGTGCAGGGCCCAAGCACCTGGGCCATCCTCCACTGCACTCCCTGGCCACAGCAGAGGGCTGGCCTGGAAGAGGGGCAACCGGGACAGAATCCGGCGCCCCGACCGGGACTAGAACCCGGTGTGCCGGCGCCGCTAGGCGGAGGATTAGCCTAGTGAGCCGCGGCGCCGGCCTGCTTATCTTTTTAAAGTTTTACTTGTTTATTTGGAAGGGAGAGAGAGAGAGAGAGAGAGAGAGAGAGAGAGACAGATTCTATCTGGTGGTTCACTCCCCAAATGGCTTCAATGGCCAGAGTTGTGCTTATCCAAAGCCAGGAACCAGGAGCTTCTTCAGGGTCTACTGCATGGATTTGAGTTCCCAAGCATTTGGGCCATCCTTTGCTGATTTCTTAGTAGCATTAGCAGGGAGCTGGATTGGAGGTAGAGTAGCCAGGACTTGAATTGGTGACTATTTGGGATGCTGGTGCCAAAGATGGATGCTTTACCCACAACAATACAGGCCAGCCCCTGTACCCTGACTTTTGCTATCATTTTTCTAAACCCTTTTCAGCCATTTTATCAATTTTATTTTCTTCACAATTCAATATTAATGCATTGTTGTGTTTCTTTCAGGGAATTGTCTTGCCTCCCAGTCTGCATTAGCATTTGTTTTTGACAGAGTGGACAGTGAGAGAGAGAGACAGAGAGAGAAAGGTCTTCCTTTTGCCGTTGCTTCACCCTCCAATGGCCGCGGCTGGCCTGCTGCGGCCGGTGCACCACGCTGATCTGAAGGCAGGAGCCAGGTGCTTCTCCTGGTCTCCCATGCGGGTGCAGGGCCCAAGCACTTGGGCCATCCTCCACTGCACTCCCAGGCCACAGCAGAGAGCTGGCCTGGAAGAGGGGCAACCGGGACAGAATCTGGTGCCCTCACCGGGACTAGAACCCGGTGTGCCGGTGCCGCAAGGCGGAGGATTAGCCTATTGATCCACAGCGCCGGCAACATTTCAAAACTTCAGTAGAAACTCATGTCAAACACTGAAGAATTATGACACATTAATGCCAAATACAGTTCACAATAGCATAGGAGGATTATGGGTTTTAAAAGTAATATTAGCAAAACTTAGTGAGGCTAGATGGTTTTATTCATCAAAGAAATTTAACTTGTGCTATGGTAATATATAAACTTCAGCAAGAGATAAATACAGTCAATATTTATATCTCTCATCAGTAACATCAACTAGTGGCTTCTAGAAGGGGGTCTATGTTCCATTATCATAATGTATGAGGTTGAGGAAAAGATCAATATCTTGATGATGCTTCCTAAAAGTTCATGTTTAGCTCAGTTTTCACTTTAGGACAGGAAGAGCATATAGTTATCTTACACATTTTCTTTCATGCTGTGAATGGGAATCATAACTTCTGTTCCTAAAGGCCATGAAATCAAAGCTTTTCTGTGCCCCAAATGATTGAAATTGGACATCTCTACCTGAGTTTTTCTGTTTACTCAATATAGTTCTCTTGAGAGGCTACCTTTGTGGAGAATGTTTTTACACACTCCCCAATAGCGAGAAATCATGTCTCACAAAAGCCATCTCATAATTGCTCCCTCTACTTTCAGTTAATATATGGTCCTTCTCATCTCATGTTAAGTGACAAAGACAAGTTTCCATCACCTGTCAGATTGCCACCAGTGACAGCTCTCTGGATCATTGAATTGTTTCCTTATTGCTGCATTTCCCCCAGCATTTGTGTCCCTCTTTGTGTCTAATGGTATGATATGAAAGTACTCCTTTAAGGAAATCAAAACAGAGTCTGAAGAGAAAGATGTCTGTATGGTCTTTGCAGCAAAGCTTACTGATGCTAAGAGAAGGTCTGACTCAACTGATCACTTTCCTGGCCTGGATCAGAGTTTCTTCTGAAAATCTGTATGTACTATACGACGATGTAAGGAGTTTTGTCAATGTGGAACTTGTAGAAGAATGTCATTTAACTATGGGGAAGCAAACTGGGATGTTGTTTTAGATGAGGCATTCACATGCTGCCACCAATTCTGGAAAACAGAAATGATTTCTACATATCCTAAAATGATTTCAGGAAGTGAAATGTTAGAAATAAATACTACTAGAAGATCTGCAGCAGTCAGGGAGCAGGAACTGTGGTTCCATTTTTAAATGAGACCACTGAGGCTACACATAACACAGGATGTACCACTTGGGTTATAAATTGAATCACACGTATTGT